TATGTGTGTGTGTGTGTGTGTGTGTGTGTGTGTGTGTGTCTGTGTCTGTGTCTGTGTGTGCATATGTGAGGCAATTAGATCCAAATTTCAAAGAGATCCAAGTTTTTGTATGGAAGATATTAAATATTTGGAATTACAATTTATTTTGGTCGTTTTTCTAATGTTGAAAGGAATATAAAGAAAAAAAAAGATGAAAAGGGATAATATAATTAAACTATTTCGGGTTTGGAATTGCTGATACTCTCAATCACCACTTGGTACATGTATTTGTCCTTTTCATCGTTGTTGATTTTATTGCAGAATATGATGATGAGAAAACACATAGTGCATTGGTAATTCGTTCAGCCAGTACTCAAGATAATGGGAAGTATACTTGCATTACCTCTGGGAAAACAGTTCGACAAACAATTTCAACATTTATCACAGTTCAAGGTTATTTGATAAATGAACATAAATTTTTTCGTTATGAAAACGATAAAATGGATGCATCATCTTTCTTTTCCCTACTCACACATATGCACGAAACGTAACTTAGGCAACACTTTCGATAATAATTCTAGGATGGATCTTGGATTAGTTTGGATTTTAATTTAACAGTTTGACTTTAAAAAAAAATTTTGTATGCGGATGTTGATCTGTATCAAATTTAGTAGCACCATTATTGTTGATCAAACGTACGGTGCGGAGGATCACTGGAACGCTTGGGACAACAATCCGGCTTCGCTGTTCGGGATCTGTTGAACCACATGATACGTCGTTTCAAATAAACTGGTACAAAGATGGTAAAAAAGTAGTACCATTCGGAAGAGTAAAGGTTATTTTTCATACTTTTCAAGTGCATTTTATAGACTTTGATATCATACCTCATATTTACTGGCTTTTTTAGTGATTGAACAAATTCCAGACTGTTTTTAAGATTGTTGAACACACCATTATTATTACTGTGCAAAATGTTCATTTTTTGTTCTTCAGGATTTTTCATTCAAAAATTAGTAGATCAGAGGTCATGGTGTGGATACTGTTTCATGCTTGTAAGGTTTTTGAATTTGCTGTTGAAAGATTTCCGCAAAATAGTAGAGTCGAGGAGGATATTAATACTGTATTAGATTTTAGTATATTTTAGTGTCAGTTAATAACAATGAGAAAAATTACAAAATTGTCGAGTCTTATAATGAAGAAGTTATTCTGATCTCCTTGTCAGAAAGACGATGTTAGATTTTCCTTATAATTCACCGCAGTCCGCAATTGCTATCTCTTGGGATGTTTTGCCATCTTCAGAACCCACTGCTTCGATCTTCTTTACTACCTCCATGCCTTCGACAACTTTCCCAAATACCACATGTTTCCCGTCTAACCAGTCTGTTTTGATG